CGATATAGTATATTAATGGTAGGGGAAATGTGAGCTACCATTAACACACAAATGCTAAATGTGAATCCGCTGATGCTGTGTAGATATCAGAAGATGCAAATGACATACAGACTATGACTTGAAGAACTAACACTAGTCCAAACATTGATTGGTTTGCTGACATCCGTGAGTAATATTTCTTTCCTCAGTAGAAAAGCTGATAATCTTCTAACGAATTTTATTTTAGATTGCAATCTAAAGCCGACGATGCGCCGCAGCAAAGATATATATAAAATAATAACATGAATGATTCAACTTACTAAACACAGATTGTCCTTGCACAGAAGTGACCAACGCAATCGAAATGATCAAGCCAAGCGCCATAGTGGTAACAACTTGTTTCTATATAACACTAATATACTTTCATCTTAATTACTCTGTAAAAGAAATTTCAATAATTTTCTCCACAACTTGATTCCATCATGTAGTATTGAAATTGCTTAATAAAGGTGGTCCAAACCCAGGCCCGCATGTGACCCACATCTTCATTATCTGTGGCCCGCGTCACTTTTGCTGGTGGGTAATCAAACAATCGCATTTTGTGTTATCTCATCAGAAAAATCTTTTGGCATATTGTTACATCACCAATGTCACTGAATTGACTAGTGTTATGGCTAGTTGAGGCAATTAGTGAAGTTGAATGATGGGCTTGGCTAGTCTAAAATGTTAACTGGCTTCTATCTTTTTGGTCGGAAATATATGCTAACAATATAGGGATCTTAAAACGGATTTTTAACTGGATATGGGAGGGGAAATACCACAACGATTGCTTGATATGTCGACAAGTTAACAAAATAATATAATATAAAACGGCATTTAGAATCTTATGAGCAATGAGCATTTTCAAAGTTAGCGATTTTGCTGTAAGAATCTTATCGATGTACGAAAGCACATACATTTGCGGAAGCACCTGGAATCTTACGCTAAATGTAGATATAGAAAGACTTTTGCTCGTTTTAGTGAGTTTTTTTGGTGATTTTTGCATGTTTTAGCTTGATAAATATTAAATATTGTCAATATGTTTGCACAATAAAAGTATTTGTTTTGTTTTGGACTGCTTACGTATTCTTGGTACCATTGTGGCCCGCGAACAATGCAAAAATAACTTTGTGCCTTCTCTTAGAGTAGACCACCCTGGCCTATCACAATGTATTTGGTACGTACTGAACGTTAACGTACGTTTGTTTGCTTTCACACGCTGGAAATTTAGCACCACCTTAATTCACATTAAATACAAAATAATGATAAATAAACTGCATAAAGGGCAAATATTCTCTCTAGCTGTGGTCAATTATACAAAAACGTTGGACGACCTTAAATATTACAACTAGCAACAATAATGTAGCAATCCAGCGAATGAATATCTCTTGGTATTTCGAAGCGATTTGTGCAGAATCCGTAACTCACAAATTCTTCTTTGTTTGAAACGTTCGAACCTGCTCGACGATGCACCTTCCATCCACCATCTATTCTAATCTATTGTAAAGGAAGTTAATCAACGTGACTATTAAAATTAAAACGTGTTTTCGGTCGTTCGTTGACACCGATATACATCGACTTAATAAAATTAGTTGAATTTATGATGAGTAATGTTTGCTGAAATTTGATCCGTCCACGAATCACCCGAAAATGATTATTTTACTAGTTGTTGAAGGTCCACGAACCATTGCGGGGAAATATAGGCTGATTGTGAAATTCAAGTCTGGCAACAGTGAATTGTTGTTCAGCTAATTTTGGTCTGCTTTCCCGGCAAATGAGGCCATTTATTGGCATCAATTGCCGTAAGTTTCTGGTGCTGATTTAGACATTAATATATGTAATTTATTAGGTTGGTTGTAGACGTTCAGGAAGCCCTAACTTGCCGTTTGACATAATCAGAACGCCAACCCACACTCGTGTGACGCCAGCCCACACCCGTGTGACTCTAGACCACTCTCGTTTTTGTTAGGCCATACTCAGGGTAACTGGACCGTGCTTGGTATTGCATTTGCGTGGGATATACCCTCTTAGGTTTATATATTATCAGAGCAACCAAGTTTCTATGAAATATATACCGGTGTTTATAAAGTGAGTCAAATAGTTGATTAGCCCGTTGGCGGCAGGATGAGTGTGGGCTGGGATAACTCTTCTAGTAACACAAGTCGGTAAAACAGCACTGCCCAAAGGGCGCCAAAATAGCTCCGTAAAACATTCATGTAGTACTTAACCTTACCAGCAAGTTTAAACTTTATCGGAACATTTTTACTAATGAAATAATTTTTAGACATCTGACCATTATTTTTTTTTACTCCGTATGGTAGGCCTCGACCCACCGATACTTACTTTTTTATATTTACTTCCTTGCAGAGGATGCTTGCAGTATTCTTTTTTTTTCTTAAAAAGTAAAAGAGAATGAACGGAATTCCTGGCCACAACGAAATATATTCCGCTACATAGAAGAGTTCGAAGAAATGCACACTCATTGAACCATCCCACCATAGTGGCGGGTATTTCGCCTTTCGCCTAAAGTGAGAGAATAAATTAAACGAAAAAAGGGCTGCAAATTTAGTATATGTGGCCATGTAATATGCTTTATTTAATATGTTAAGATACTTTATTACATAAAAGGTATTATGAAACTAATATTTTTAGTGAATTTGTTATGCATATTAGAGGAGTGATACAGTTATTATGTAACTATGAGGAAGTATAGTTGACAATGAGATATTATACCACAGCAAAATAATAGGCACGCAAGATTTTTTATATTTGGAAGTCATATCCAGAGAGGGAACTCTTTCCAATTTAGAACCTGATCGTGCAGAATAATATTTCCATATTTCATCTCGCGTGCCAGTAGATGTTGGTTAAAATAAGCAACTGATTTAATTATGTTTTTATAGTCGTCTGCATTCGCACAGCGATCTTTCTTATCCAAAATCATTTCTTGTTTTTTTTTCACCTTAAACCTAAAAAATTGGAATATTTTGAGGATTATAGGAGTATGGTTATCGCTGTAAGTGTTGTAGATTCAATATATCCTCAGTACAAACACTTACGGGACTCGAGCAGATTTTATTCAAGATTTTAGATAGTTGAGACGCCATGCTCAGGCAGAACTTGCACTCTAAAAGTATGTTACGTGTTTTCCAGTTTTAGAAGCCGGTTATTTGATTTATTATATTTAAAACCGGTTCCCATTTGGCGTTGTCCAAATATAAACCCGTTTCGGACGGTCCTATAAGAGATTTCTATTTCTGTGTTACTAAAATGAACCCTATTAGGTCGAACGAGTACGCGTTGCCAATCAATGTCAGCTGGAGGACGTTCTCCGCTGTCGCTCATGAGTGACCTATATATGAAAGAAAGGCTGACAGAATCTCAATGAAGCCCGACTATTGACCCTAATTTAGCCAGGATTATTTTCCTGCCAAGACTGTACTGGGCCCCTCTAAGCCACAATTGTGTGGGATTAACAAAAGAGTTGGTGGAAAGGTTCGGCCTGGCAAGCAAGATGTTTTACTTAAATTGTTTCGCAGCTATTACAGTAAAAGCCTTATAAAATGGGGCCAATCTGCGTTCTTTGCAACCCTTATAAAAGGACAAAGACAGAAGAGCTCAATTTGAAATAACAGTTGGCAACCCTAGCTACTGCTTTAGATTTGTGGTGGTATGGGAGAAGGATGTTCATCATGCTTTGGGGGTCTCCATATGACCAAAAATTTCTTGCCATAGCTTATCACATGACATAAATCGTTTAAGCGCACTGGAGAGGCGGATGGAAATTTGGAACGGGTAATAATGTGATGGCATGCACTGTCGTGTGTAAGTTAATAAAATAGGTAGTATGCTATGCAATATTTTTCACGTTGAATTGTATCATTTCTCATTTTGTGTTTAAAATTATCCCCATGAACCAGGCCATAGACAAGTAGAAACAAAGCTATTCATTCAAATATAGCGATGTTAATAATGACCGATATCTATAAAGAGTTAATAATTTATATTCAGGAGGGGATGAAGTATTTCAACATATATTCTATTTTATATTAAGGTGGTTTTGCTGAAAATAATTCCTATACAGTATACACAAACAGAAACAGGCTTTTTAATTCAAAATATAACGATGGGTGTTGTACAGTACTCCAATTAGTGAAAATATTACTACGCTTTTTTTAAAATGTGTTGCAACAAGCTTCCAGGCAAAGTAAAAACGGATTTTCTAACGCGGTTGTTGTGAAGACTTTATCAATTTTATAAATTAATTCAGATTTCTCCTCTTATTGGGGTGATAAATTCTCTATAATTTTCTTCTCAGATTATTCCGAAGATTCCCTTCTAGGGTAGAATTATCATTTGCCTCGGTCAGAATTAATGGACTTTTATCCTTGCATGGCTATAAATAAAATATCTTCTTCGAACTTTTAATAAAGGCAAATTACATATTATCACACAGATACCATATGTTAGTATAATCGTTATTAAATGGTGATGTATGCCAAAATACAACAGACACAGACTTTTGGAAGCACAAAAAAAAAAAAAACTTTACTGCGTTTTAATATTCACGGAATGAGGAAAAAAATATTTCGATGCAAAAATATCTTTACCTCATTCACGTGAAATAAAATCATATTTGTATATGAAATTATCTGAGTTGGATTAATAAATGTAGTAGTGCCACCCAAAATAATCGCATAATATATTTTGTGAGAGCAACACTCAACGACAGCTACGGGTCAATGACATACGAAAAAGTTTTGATCTGCGGAAGGATAAGACAGAACATCCGTTGGAAAATCAAGATCAAACTTGCGAACGTTTGATTATTTTCTCATTGTTTTTCTTTGCATTGAAGCGTGGGTGACCGCTGATAAAACTCAAGTTCGTGATAATGAATCCAGATTTGTCATAAGATAGACATCATACAACATCATGACAATTCGTTGAGAGCCTCAAAGAAATAAGAAAAAAGTTTTACTTTACGACAAGTCAGCAAGTTCGACTTTGAACTTTGATTCATCAAAGATGTAATAGACTTTAGCAACGGATTTTAAAGACATTCTAATCCGAGCTACCCATAGATCCACAAGGATATATTTATTGGGTGATATGGAAAGACGAGTGCTTGAGACGCAGTGAATCGGTGTCGGTTCGGATACATTCCCGATATTTATTGATGCTTCATCAGTCACTAGGATTTGCACGTTTGTTGCTTTGCTCGACTTAGACATCAAATCCTGTGTAAAAGATATAATTAATATTGCTTGTATGACAAAATACGATGGCACATTATTTGCGTATAATAACGTCTAGAATATTTTTTAATTATGGTATTTGGATATTTATCGAAATGAACCCTAATAAAGTTTATTTTAACATGCACCAGTGTGATCAACAAATAAAAAAAACTTGAACGTCGAAATAAATATATAAAATAGAGCAAACTCATTGTTTAAACAGGCAAAACTTTTTTTTGATCAATTGTTTTTTGCATATTTTTTTCAATAATGAAGTTTCTAAACAGTGTTATCAAAGGATTGGCCCAGAACCATGAATAAAATGAATAATAAGCTGTGATACATTTCAATACCAAGAACTGTATTAAATTGAATAACGAAATAATTTCCAAATTTTTCGAATCCAATTTTCAAAATGTTGAACGTCCAAAATAATAAACAATGACTTTTTCAGATATAAAATACTCAATCACCTCCAGATGAAGTTTATACACTCTTCCCATCTTGTGATTTTCTCGATTCCACTGAATTGAAATTCCAGACTGGAGGCAAGAAATCTGCGAAATTCCTGAATTCAAGACAATACCATTTATCAATTACAGATTGTGATATGCGTTTATGCACATAATATTTTCTCTGTACATTGTTTCATTGACTAGATAGTACGAAATTCTCTAAATATTATAAGTTTACATTTTATTGGCAATTATTTAGATAAATATGCAGCAATATTAAACATCTAGGTCCTAGGTTATCGAGTTACGCTCGATTTTAACTGAGAAAAAAAACAGGAAGTTCTGATATACCATTCCTGTTTTTAAATGTTTGATGGGAATTAATCTAAATATTTTTAAGCATGAGGCAACGGTTATTCTGGCGCGTCAGTATTTCCTCACTACCATTCTTCCATCCGCTTTCTGAGTATTTATTAAATTCTTGCAATCTTTTTAAGATTGAGGATTCCATTAAGATTTAAGATTAAGACCATAATAACATGTAGCACCAATGTAATGGTGGTGGACAATAGTTATAATTCAATGTTCCAACCTTGATATTCCAAAAACATTTGCAAAAAAAGATGAAACTTACTATTTTCACAATTTTCACCCGTATAACCCCACATGCATTCGCACTTTCTTTGACAACCAATTGGTGTGCAAGTTCCCAAATTTTGACATGGAAAAAGCAAACATCTGTCAACGACTGTAAAAATTCAAATTATTAACTCGTATATTAGAATGTTACATTTGGAGATGATCAAATTCAATCCAAATTTTGAACAAGTCATGGTATTTTCCACAACCACCACTAAGAAGGAAAAAATCAAGAAACTGATCGAAACAACGAATGAAATTGGGAATATATTTTCTATATTGTTTTACAAAAAATCGGGATTTTATAATTTAAATGGAGATCCCTCTGTATTTCCTGATTTGTGACACAGTGGACAACTGATATGTCTGTCCGTTAAATATTGGATACATTAAACACTCGTTTTTGAAAAACTCCTTTTATTAGGACATATAGTGTGAAATGTATATAATGTACCGATTTATTGCTATCGACAATGTAGCCCCAATTTTCGGTATCGGTAGTGTTTCGGTAAAGGGCTAAAGCGAGATATTTCCGATATATTTAGCATTTAATATGATGTATAATATTTCAAAAAATAAGTTCGAATTGTGATGGAATTGTCGGAATTGTTTTTACTTGAATAGATCGTGAACTACGGGCCATACACGTCCCCACTACAGCGAAGAGACTCAGGATTCGAATTCTGATCGGTTTTAAGATAGTTATCAGTCAAACTAGCTCAACTAATTTGGATGATGCCGCCAAATATTTATATATGTTTACATTTTCAAAACTACCTGGTAATCCTGAACAAATATTTCAATCGATTATTAGTGGATTTTAAAACGAGTAAAATACAAAATATGTCGTTATGTAGGTACAATCCCACGCACGCCCGATTGGATAGGTAAACATTCATTCATTTTCAACATTCATTCATTCCACAGTAGCCAAACTCAATGAGTTTTCAAACTGAACACCGATCGCCACAATAATTTGTATTTTACATGTTTCATTTAGTTTGTTAACCCAATTTGCGCTCCAAGCCCTGCCCATTTTATGGGTATTTTAAAACTTATTTTTTTATGTCAACCATTAAGCCCTGAAGCTTTACTCATGGATTTTTAAAAGCGTCTGCTAGAGTTCTATTCAGCAATATATCTTTAAAACACACTCCGCGAAAAAAAATTTTGCAAAAAAATTTCATAAATTCCTAAACAAAAATTGGACTTTGAGATATTCTGTGTACAGTAGAGGGTTAATAATTAATTCCTAATTAATTAATTTTTTCTTCAACGTTTTCGTCAAGTTTTTCCTAACATAACAATACCAAAACGACTATTATAGCATAAATGGTTATTACTCTGAACTCACAACTGCATTTACAGTATTGTCAAGTTCAAGGTCCAATTACTGATATTGATGACGTCACAGCTCTTATTATTACTGCACAGACCACCCCCAATGCAAAAAAATTAAATTTTTTCGACGGAAATGCGCGTAGAACGACGTAAACCAGTGATTCTCAAACTAGGGTTTGAGAGCCGCATGCGGCTCTCAACAACCTTTCCTGCGGCTCCCGTTAATGTTTTAAAAATTAATTATTTTCAATGAAAATTTTTCATTGAAAACTAATCATTGACTCGAAATTAAAATGCTGAAGTCTATTAGTTAGTCGAATGGATTCCCCCGTGTTTATTTGCGTAGCGTTGACTAACCTATAAGATGCAATTGTGACGCAACAGTGATCGTTTTCGTGGCCAATCGGACACTTTTCACTTGGAAAGATTTTAGACATGGCTGTAATCATTGGCTTGCTTTCGTGGATTTTCAGTTTTTGTCGCATTTGCAGATCTTATGTATAAATCAAATAACTCGATGATTATTTTAATTTCTATAGCATTTTAATTTTGTTCCAGTAATCGAAAATAGTCTCGAAAAATCTGGCGATCATCTCAAGCAGCTACTGCAGCTTGCATCTTCAACGATTACGACCCGCTTTGACAAACTTATTAGAAATCAAAGCCTAATTAAAAAGCTGTTAGGGTAGAGTGGGCAAAATTGAATCTTTTTTCGAATCGGATAATTTGAATGTTTTTTTATACATAACAGGGATCCAGAACGTCGGAGGTCGATACTCCATTTGGAAATTAATAGAAACATTAAAAAGTCGGCAATAAAGCGTTTTTTAATGGTTAATTTTATCATAATTGCTGATTGTCTTTGTCACCGCGATCGTTTTGGCGGCGATATCCTAAAGTTGGTATTCTATATTTCCGCCCTTTCTCGTTTTTGCAAGAATAAGCGGTCGCCGAATATCGAAATTTCATATTTCTAGTATACCCTTGCGTTCACATCAGCGATAGCTGTTGAATACATTTAAGGACTGATTTCAAAACCAAATTAATTCTATTCTAAGGTTATCCTCTGCCTTGGATTCGATCTTCCGTATCACCGCTTGTAAATTAAACGTGCATGTTTAAAGTGAACGGTAACCGAGATGCAGATATTTATTATAATGATATTCAAGTTTCTCATGCTTTTCTATGATGTCCGTGTTATTTTAGTATTAGATAGATAAACCTAGCAAATTTACGAATGCGTGAATCCTGAATGTTGATTTAAAATAGAGATTAAATAAATTGGCAATAAAGGCATTTCTAGGCCTTTGTGCCTAATAGAGGGTCAGACTCTAATTATACCTAATTCCTTCAAGTTTTAACGTTTTTTTTTGTTCAACGAAACAACACCCCGATGGTTATTATAGCTAAAATACGTACTGAGTAATGCTCAATTTTCTTTACGGAATTTGCAATTTCAGCACTTCACTTAATGATTTTGATTATGTCATGCCTTGAGGCTTAATTATTACTACCCAAATGCTTCAAAATTTAACAATTGTAATCATTTTCGATGATAATAGACGCAACAATTCGTGAACGAGTCAGTGTGCATTGTTGCAACGAAATTCACGATTGATTTTACGTTCTACTCTTGGCTCAACGGCCATGCAGGGTCGAGTAAAATGTTTACATATTCGAAAGATTACTTGGCAAAGGATGGGAGGGATCACTAAAGAGCTAATACAAAGTGCTTTAAAGGGAGTAGGACATGACATTTCTTATCTGGTTACAACTTAATGAGTGTTTTGCATACAAGTAACTCATACCAGCTTTTGGAAAAACTTTTGGTCATTTCTAAATCCATGCTATTTACATAACTAGAGTGTTTTACCGACCTAAAATCGCCTTTTTCACAATGAAACGCCGAAAAGTCATTTTAACATTTAATTTTAAGCAACTTTCGGTAATGCAAGAAATGGCTAATGACATGTCACCACGAATGCGGAGTTTAAATCTGGGAAATTTATTTTGAAAATCTAATCTGGTTTGACGTTTCTAAATTTACGGAACGGTCGGTACGGTTTTTTTTGCAAAATGATGAATTGAAAGGATACGTTAAGTGCAAAAATAAGCATATAACACCATAACGCAAAGACGACTTTTTAAATTTTTCTTTTTTTTCTGATAGCGAGCGCCGTTGGGAAATCTCGCACAATTCACGATTGAGTTGGAGACGCGCGAGTTCGGTGTCCAAGCAGAGCGGCGCAGGTCACGTGGTACCGTATAGTCGAATCGTAAAATACCATTCGAATATTTTATTATTCGAAAATTTTGCCCAGCCCTAGTTGTTACGTGTGTTGTTGTTACGATGACTTAGTATTTTAATTACGCGCTTAAGGTTTGTTGCTAATTTACCTTGCGTTGTTTGTGTGCGGCTCTTCATACCTTTGAGGTTTGAAATGCGGCTCTGGGACTAAAAAAGTTTGAGAACCCCTGGCGTAAACAATCCCATACGCGCATTTACGCGTTAAAATTACCAATAATTTTACGTTTTTTTTTACATACAAAAAATCTCCATATCTCTGCCAACTATGGAGCTGTCGAAATCATATTTATCAAAACAACACAGCGCCAGGGATGGTCAGGGATAGTTAGTATGACTGAAAATACATGCTAAAGCAATAATAAGTCGTTATAAAGGAGTATTTCCTGTCTGAGCTGAGTCACATTTTTAGACGTCTGACAGGTGATTTGGAAATCCAGGCTATTTATACGATTCGCACTTTGCGTCACGGCTGGAAGGTTTTATCGCTTCTCTCATATCAGGGCATTACGTCGATAAACAGCTAAGAGCGATATTGACCCTATAAGTACCGAAATTTAAAAACTATAGGAAAGTAAACCCATATGGGCGTTCCGGCTGTAGAAGCGTTTAATGTGATTATGTGATTGTACCTGGAGTTAATGTTTCGATATTTATTTATTTATTCGAATCATACAATTTCCAGCATATCTAACACCTGCCGAAATTTCCAAAATACGCTGCCAAGTATCCATGTATAATCTGAACAGCGAATCTGAACAGCAAACTGCTCAAACTTCGGTAATTACAATTTTCTCCGAGTCCGATTCTTCGTTCGCTCTAAATTGGGAACAAATTGGGCATTCTGGTACCACTGATTTTGCTGCGAATAAAATTTATCACTCTACAGTTAGAGCAAGACAATAACTTTCGTATGTTGCATAAGTTATTGTAGGATCACTTGGCAGTCAAGACACACAATATTTGCACGTTCATTTTTGAAACTTGGCAGCGGCGAAACTTGCATTTGTTACATAATAATATGCTTTATCGAGCTTGCCCAGACTCGATTACTATATCGCCACGCTAATAACCGAATTGCGTAAGTCATTTTTGGCGATTTTGAGTTTTTTTTTATAAAATAGGTATTTATGTAATGCTGCGCACCTGTTTGTTAACTCAGATTTTATTTTAAGAATTCCGAAACCCATGAAAATGGAGATTTAGTATAACATGCACATTTGTGTAATTGTTTCGTCATAATGAATTATCATTGTTACCGCGGGACTATTGTGACGTCACAAAGGCAAAATAACCTCGCCGAAGTATTTTCGAGTTTTTGCATCTCGGATTCTAGCTTAGCGCGTATTAATTTGAATTTATACTACAGTATAGAAGGGCGTGCACTTGTGATATTCATTGTCCGAGTCCAATTCACCTTGGTTGGCCCTTATATTGGGTGCATTGCTGTTTTATTCTTCATATTTATTCTTAGTCTTATTTCGGTGGGTGTGCAGAACGTGTTATATTATTGAAATATATATTTTTAAACATAAAAAATAATGTAATTGAAACTGATTAGCTATTTTGGGGATAAGACATTGTAGATACTGAAAAGTAAATTCGTTTTTGGAATGTTTAGTTTCCAGGACTGGTGCATATAGTAAAGTTGCAAAATTGCGTCCCCAAGTCATAGATACATTTCTGCCTAAATCACAGTGCGCCATTATGACGTCACTTAACTGCGTCATACAAATTAACCTAAATCCGGCTACGATCAAAAAATTGAACCATGGCAAATTATTGACTCTCAATGGCCTAACAATATCATTAGGAAGTTTTTTACGTTTTTTTTTTTCAAAACTGCTAAAAATGACTTACGCAATTCGGTTATTAGCGTGACGATATGTGTAATTAAAACACGCAACATCCGCTTCATGGAACTGGTTCAAGGCATTGTTTTGAGGTATTATACTAAATTCACTCAACATCAGACGCGATTGACGTATTGGCCACCCCTGATGTACACTATGAATAATGATTAAAAAACTATTGTTTTAACCCGTCTGTCCTGAACATTTGAAGTAATAATTATCGGTAGAAAATATAATATATCTATTTCTTATCAGTTACATAAAATAATATATGAACATGACGAGCACCATGTGACAGCAACGTGTTGAAAATAAATTATAAATCGTATATATACCTGATATTTCACATATGTAGCCGTTTTTACCAGAGTTTTTTCTAGCAAACCATCCCATATTGGTCCTAGATCGGTAAAACGAACTGAGAATCATACTACGCTTGGTAATGGAAGTGTGATCGCTTTCTACACTCCATTTTTGAAATCCTCCTGTCATAGGCACGTCTGTATCATCAACCCATATCCATCTATTATTATCTTTGTATCCACCAATCCAAAATCCAATTGGATATCCACTGCCTCCATACTGCTTTATTACCTGACTTTCAACCAAGTCTTGGATTCTTGCTGTCTTCATCATTGCTATCGCTCCTCCAAGACTGCTACAAGTTGAATTCGTCTCGGCGAATGTTTTTTTATCACGATGGTTGACGTGGTATTTGCAGTTGTTTGTAATGCTGTTGATGAATTTTCTTTCTGCATAAAATGAAATGAAATGACAACTTTTGTCAGATTAATTTTCAAAACAGTTTCTGTCAAACAGTTATTCATTTACAAGTTTTAGGGAGACTTATTTTACGCCATTTCGACGCAACTTGCACTAAAAGATATTGCTTTCATGGATTCACCGCCTTCACAAAGAAATACCTTAATATGCGAAGGTTCGCAGGTTCGAATCCCGTGAGGAATGATTATGTGCGAGAAGATTGCTGGGACCCTGCCGTCGTCGCATGATTTGCACAAACTTCTGTCGGTTATGGCTTCTTCCACCATCAAGCCTATGCATCTGATACAAACAACTATGGTTAACTATTTTCATACTCTGCATGGACTGGTAACTGGGCGAAAGTACGTAGCTTGCCATTTGATTAATTCATTTTATCAGTTTTCCGCTCCCTTTCGATAAATATGGAATCGTATACATACCGGTATATATATATATACGGAATAACAATACTTTGATGGCAACATTGTGTTCTCTGCCAAAGCGTGTTCTCGAAATTCTGCGAGCGATATTAATTAGTTGATTTCAATCTAGAATTACGACAAACATTTAATTCAATTCCATGAATAGCGTAGACTAGCAATTAGTTTGCTATTTTGCTGAAAACAGTGTTTTAAATTTTCGTAATTGTAGTCTGAAATTTACCGCGTGAAGTGTTTTCGATTTTGGCGAAAGACAAAATTTTTAGTTTTCATTTCACTTTAGTTTCAAATCAGCTCACTCTTTCCAAGTTATCATTTTAAAATCTAAAATTTCGATTAATATGAGTTGAATAACCCAACCTGGTACACGTACTACGTTCCGGTGTCCGCCATCTTGGTTCACTAACTTCGGGAATACGGAATAATAATATGAGTGTGATTTCAAGATTCAATTACAAAAAGATAAAGTTATTGCTATCACTCGTATCATCTTCCAATCCTCTACATTTCAGAAATTGCGTAAAATATTTTAGGGATTTATGTGAATAATCATCAAGTTATATCTTGTATGTATCGCCTCAAATTTGCAAAAAAATCGTTTTTCCTATTTGGGTTCGGTATAATTGACAATATATGTTATTCACCTTCACACTGAGTTCCCTGATATTCTTGATGACAAACGCATGTGTAATACGGCTCTTTAGTCGAAAGTTCACAAGTTCCCCCATGTTTGCAAGGTGACGAATCGCATGCGTCTGCGTCTAAAAATATTGAGCAAATTGAAAAAAATGAAATTTTATCCCAGATCAAGAACTGGAACAATTGCGATATAGTATATTAATGATAGGGGAAAAGTGAGCTACCATTAACACACAAATGCTAAATATGGATCCGCTGATGTAGTGTAGATATCAGAAGATGCCTAACACTAGTCCAAACATTGATTGGTTTGCTGACATCCGTGAGTAATATTTCTTTCCTCAGTAAAAAAGCTGATAATCTTCTAACGAATTTTATTTTAAATTCCAATCTAAAGCCGACGATGCGCCGCAGCAAAGACATATATAAAATAATAACATGGATGATTCAACTTACTAAACACAGATTGTCCTTGCACAGAAGTGACCAAAGCAATCGAAATGATCAAGCCAATCCCCATAGTGGTAACAACTTGTTTCTATATAACACTAATATACTTTCATCTTAATTACTCTGTAAAAGAAATTTCATTAATTTTTCCACAACTTGATTCCATCATGTAGTATTGAAATTGATTAATTAAGGTGGTCCAAACCCAGGCCCGCAGGTGACCCACATCTTCATTATCTGTGGCAAAAAATCGCATTTTGTGTTGTTTCATCAGAAAAATCTTTTGGCATATTGTTACATCACCAATGTCACTGAATTGACTAGTGTTATGGCTAGTTGAGGCAATTAGGGAAGTTGAATGATGTGCTTGGCTAAACTAAAATGTTAACTGGCTTCTATCTTTTTGGTCGGAAATATATGCTAACAATATGGGGATCCTAAAACGGGTTTTAGCTGAATATGGGAGGGTAAATACCACAATGATTGCTTGATATGTCGGCAAGTTGTGCCGGTAACAAAAGAATTTAATGGATCAAAGTTTAAAGTCGAACTTGTTGACTTATCGTAAAGTAAAAATTCTTTTTTTTATTTCTTTGAGACTCTCAAATGATTGTCATGATGTTGTATAAAGTCTATTTCCTGCCATACCTGGATTCATTATCATGAACTTAAGTTTTATCTGCGGTCACCCATGCTTCAATGCGAAGAAAAACAATCACGAAATATTTAAACATTCGCACGCTTGATATTGATTTTTCAACGGATGTTCTGACTTATCCTTCTCCAGAATGAAACTTCTTCGCATGTCATCGATCCGCAACTATCATAGAGTATTGCTGTCACAATTTAGATCGTGATTATTGTGGCAATTCTGCATTTTTTTAATTCAACTTATATAAGTGTTATACCGATATGATTTCTTTTATACGAATGAGTTGAAGATTCTTTTGCATCCAAATACGGTTTATTTCACGTATATCACAACGAACTATTCTGTGTTCCAGAAAGTGTGTTTTATTTTAGCATGCATCATCATTCAATAAAGATAACACAAATATATATTACCTGTTTAATAATATGTATTTTGCTTTTAGTTCGCATACAACATGACCCAGTTGCGAACCGTCACTGTCTAATCAAACAGCTAACACGAAATGACTGAATGAATGCTTAGGATCAGCGTGTGGTATTAAATATGACAGTTAAGCTCAATGACCAGATCATCCCATGTCATCACCACGCTGAAATGAGTGGAAACATGTTTACTTGATTATATTATATAGTCAGCGGCATGAAAAATGAGCATAATATTCCACTCATTGAAATACGAAATGTAATGATATTGGATGACATCATGCTCTACGGCAGGCCCGCGCCCAACCTTTTTAGTTTCGCGGGCAACTTTCACATGACAAAATTCATTGCGGGCAGCAAACATTGATACGAAACTTAAATACACTACCAGCCAAGTCCTGATTTCGTTAGAATTTACATAATACATAAAATGCAAGTTTGTTAACATAAAGTCAATCAAGTTAACTATAGTTATAACTATTTACTGGTTTCCGAGTAGGGCTAGCAAAATATTTGAATATAAAACAAGAGAAAGTCACATAATTTTGATGACGTCATAGCGAAAAAAAAAGTAATAGCCTTCTGGAGAAAATTTTTATCTTTAACCACTGACAATTTCAAAGCAATTGGTCCAGTATTCGAAGAGAAAAGCGACTTTTTAAAAACGTGTCAAAGAACAAGAACAAGAACAACAACAACAACAACATAATATTGAAACGATCGTTATGTCCACTACGTATCCAATAACAGTTCACTATGGGAATATCTGGTAACATGGGGCGTGAATATGGCACTCGCGCGCCGCTGGATCAAAGAATCGATCATTACACAAAGTACTTTTTATTGCACGAAGCACAATTTCTGACGACCACACGAGAATCTGCACACAGTTTTCACTAAGAAACGAAGACATCAAAATTGAGTGTTATATTTTCGGTAAATGTTTTTTATTTATTCATTTTCAGGGGCTATGATATTGTCTCAATGTTTAAATAAGCGTAATTAGCGCAAATGTCGCGGGAATATCAAGTTTTAGTGAGCCGTTTCGTAAAATTTGAAACATCAATACAAGTATTTAATGAAGTAGCATTGCAAAGATTTCTAGAGGAATATATATACTAATATGGATATGTAAAAAATGCCAATAAGTCAATTTTATTAGAATTATTGACGGATACGCAGTGACGACATTTTAAAAAATTTCATTTAACGCAAACATAACATAAACAAAAATAAGAACATTAATGGACAACGGAGTCCCGGAGCCAGTGGAAAAAATATTGTTGACTTTTTATTTTGAGTTGGCGATAAAGACGATCAAAGCTGACACGTAAGATAGCAACCAGAATGGAAATTATTTGTAAATTTAGGTTCCAAATTCATTCCTGTCATTGCGCTCAGCGTTTGTGGCCAATGATCGCACAGCATCGTTTGAGTTCGTCAAACAGAACGCACAGTTCTGCGAAAATGTCCACCAAGGCGCAAGACTTGATACATGTATGTATAATAATAGGAACAGGCATTTGGATGTAGATATATGGCGGGAATAATCACACCAAAATCATGAAGCATACTAAAAGTCTATCTCAAAATACCACTATATGTCCATGAAGATTATGAAAGTCATAACAGTCAACAGTTCAAATTAACTTGAGTAATTACGAAATTCTTTTTATATGTTTCTACGGTTGTAACATGAGTAACTGGCTGAATGTGATTTGGATATTTGGTGTGACTATTGAAGTGAATGAGCAGGTCTTCGAGGAAAGATAGTATCAATAACGTATATATATCTTCGATTTGATAAAGCGTGTTTGGAAGTAGACAATAGACAATAATCTATAAAGTCTGACTGGGTCTGTATTCGAATATTTGATCTAGAATTTTCATATTTTTAGTTTATTGAAAACAAAACATACAAATGAGAATGGAGAAATTCAACAACAATTGACAATACGCGAATTTGTTATTTTGTCTTCTAAAGATTGTGAAAGACGCCATTTCTGTTGTGTCTGTGAAATCTTATAATGGCTCCTTAGACTGTCAGGCCTTATAAATATTTTCTCACATTTATGACATTTGTGTTTTCGTTTGATGTGTGCTGAACTCTGATGCCTTGTCAATATACATTTTAAAGAGAACTGCTTTAAGCATATTTCACATATGTGTTTATTCATAATTGTAGTATGATTTATTAATAAGTACAACCTTAAACCCAAAAATGCGCAGATTTTAAGTACAAAACAGAAGAAAAACTTCTAACAGCATGCCGTACTAAATTTTATCGTTAAGTCTGATTTATTACTACGGAACCCAGACTACCTCAATATTACATCTTTTATAGTTTATACTTTCTAATTCAGACTCAGACTCTCGATAAAGCACAGAACGAAGCGTTAGGAATGGTGAAAACAACAGTGGAACTATTTTCTCCAAATAATCCTATTTGTTTAGTATAATATGCATTAGAAAGTGTTTGATGTTACTTATCAATGTCCGTTTGGTGAGGTCATCTTCTTTTTTGATGTCGCAGAAATCAATGGACGTTGTCTCTTACAAAATATTTCTTGTACAAAGATACTAGTACAAAGATTTCAAACCTAATAACCCACTGATCTATTTTCTATCTACTGAACTATACAGCTTATTAAACAAATTAAACAAATCTTAGCTTAGCAACATTTGGAATAGTTACGGCCGGTAGCAGCAGTGCTGACTATTAAACCACTCATGGTGGAATAACATAGAAGTCCTATAAAATACAAATGATGCTACAATTCAGTATACGACGAAATTGAAACAAGTTAAAAAATCAAAAGAAAAAAGTTTGTTTTGACAGATCTGAATCACCTTAATGCGACTCATTTTTATCGCGTTCGCCTTCTACTCTGGTAGTAGCTGCGACATGAACTAGTGAGGAGTATTTGGCTTCATGCTTCCCTTCCTTTGAATCCCTACTGCTTCGAACAAAAACCTGCTGTAGGTCCCTTGATTCACAGAGCTACAAGAACAAAGAGCCGCAATATTCGATTGCTGCCCTAGCCTGTGCCATATGGGAGGCTCATTTAACATTGACTCAGGCGCGGGGCTAGGATTTTCAAGAGATGTTACAATCGGAATTGTAAATTTCTGTGTAACGGCTTCTAAAACAGCCGCTGCGATCATGCCACTCGTTAAAAGAGATGATTTTGTGGCGGTAGGATGACGATTTGCATTATGTATTTATTCCTACTGCTAACTCGGTATACTAAGGTAAACTATGTTTTGCTATTGCATAAAAAGTGTATTTAAACATACAGATATAGTACGACATAGACTTCAAACGAATTTTTTTTTTTATAGTTCTAACTCAATTTATGGCAACCGGAAAATGGATAGACTAACAGTTTATGTCTCATTTAACAACATTTTACCTAGTTATCACATAAATACACAAATGAATGAACCAAAATACTTTTTACCAAATATTGTTACCCGGAAATACTATTATCCTTAGCTTCTTTAACCGCTTGAACCCGGCAAGCCGGTTTACCGGCTTGTTTGAGTACGCTCTGTGCCCCGGCAAGCCGGTTTACCGGCTTGTTTTTCGTGTCGGAGGGAATCAACTTTATGATCTCGTATCTCAAGAACCACAATGAGTATTTAAATAAATTTTATATTGCATGAAAGCTTGTTATTGGGACTAATTATATTGTGATGATCGGTGCTCTAATATACGATGTTTCAGTAAAATTGGCAATTTGAAAGAGCGTATGAAATTATTGTATGATAACAAATATTTAATATAAAGAATTTCGACTTCTTGCCTAAATAGCCACATATTCAATCGGCAATATATGTGGAGAATTTGAATAGCTTTTTATATACGTATCCAAAACGATTTTACGATGAGCCATTCAAATTTTATGACCAAATATATTAGATTATCTGTAGATTTAACAGCGACGCTGCGTCAAATTGATGTTCTCATTGAAGAGAGGCAACGTCTCGTCACGCACAACTTTACGCATTTTACGCAAATGCAACTAAACGTGACGATA